TTCAGAAACTCAAGAATTACCTGATAACCAACAACCCCAATTTTTACCATTCCCTCTAGCACAGATGAATTTCAAATCTATAGCAATACTTCACATTAATGACTGGGATGTGCTCTAATGCAGCATGCAAGGTGATAGCTTATGCCTTTAGACAACTCAAGGTGTATGAAAAGAATTAACCTAGCTACGACTTGGAGCTAGCTGTAGTTATTTTTGCACTAAAGATTTAGAGGCACTACCTTTATAGTGTTCGTTGTGAGGTCTTCACCGATCATAAGAGCTTGAAGCATTTTTTCACCTAGGAGTTGAACTTAAGACAGACGATGACTTAAGTTGATGAAGACTATGATTTGGAGATTCAATACCGCCCTAGTAAGGCGAACGTGGTTGCAGACGCTTTAAGTAAAAAATATTTGACATGTGTAGCTTGGATGGTCACTCAAGAGCATGAGTTAGCACAGAAGATGGAGCAAATCCAACTCGAGATAGTACTGATAAGAGCTACTGCTAACTTGTATTAATTGTCAGTTCAGCCTACACTTGTAGACCATGTTTGTGCAGCTCACATAATGGATGCAGACTTGCTACAACTTAGAGAGCAAACAAAGAATGGATCGAAGTCCAAGTTTAGTGTCGATCTAGATGACACTTTGAGATTTCAGGATCGGCTGTGTTCCAGATCAAGAAGGACTTCAACAATAAATACTCCATGAGACACATTCTACTCTATATTTTGCTCATCCACGAAGTAATTATTTTGGTGGCCGGGAATGAAAACCATTGTAGTTGAGTTCGTAACTAAGTGTTTGTCCTATCAGATGTTTAAGACCAAACATCAGAGACCTGGTGGCCTATTGCAGCCTCTTCCCAATCCAGAGTGTGGTTGGCTTGCCAAGATCGTTATTATGCTATTTGAATTGTGGTTGATAGACTAACTAAGTCAGTTCTTTTCTTATCAATAAAGCAGGTCGATTTGGTGGATAAATTAGCCAAGATCTACACAGATAACATCGTTTGACTTCATGGAATTCCAACTATCATTGTATCAGATCAAGATGGAAGATTTACTCCCAGGCTATGGAAACAAGTGCAGGAAGCTATGCACACAAGATTGAACTTCATTACTACTTTTCATCCTCAGATAAGCGACCGGTCAGAGTGCACCATTCAGACCTTAGCAGACTTGCTGAGAACTTGCATTTTGGACTTTGGAGCAGTTGGGAAGACTATATTCTATTGGTTGAGTTTGCTTATAATAATACATTCCAGGTTAGTATCGACATGACACCATATGAAGCTCCTAGTGTTGGGTTAAAGGCGGTGAAAACAAATATTTGGACCTTAACTAGTGGACTAAACTACCAAGAAGGTTTGTTAGATTCGAGATCGACTATGTGCGCTCAGGTTCGTTAGAAGAAATACTTTGACCTAAAACACCGAGAGATTGAATTAGAAGTCGGAGATCACGTTTTCTTAAGGTTTCACCTATTCGCGGAGTCACACGATTTTGCCAGACTAAAATGCTTCAGCTTCATTTCATTGGCCCTTTCAAAATGATCGAGAAAGTCGATAAAGTTTCATAATTTTTAGCTATTTCTCCAAGAATTGGAGGAGTACAAAATGTCCTTCATGTCTCTCTACTTCGACGTTACGTGCATGAAGACTCATGTTATTCGGTACGAGCCATTGGTGATTTGAGGAGGCCGGAGTTATGAAGAAGTACTAGATTGCATCTTGGAACATGACGTTTGACAGCTTCGTTGCTGATATATTCTTTTTGTCAGAGTGTTTTGGAAGAACTAGTCAGAACGGGAAGCAACATGAGAGATTGAAGAAGAAATAATTGCGAACTACCCAGAGCCATTTGAGAACTATGGTATAAATTTGGGGACCAAATTCTTGTAAAGAGGGTAGTATGTAAACACTGAAATTTTCTCCGAAAATTTTCTTTATTTGCTCACGCCTTACCCGTTTTCTAATTTTGATTTTACGAATCCTTCCTTTTCTTCTTGACACCCTCTCTTACCAACTTCCTGAATCGTATGATCGCTCTGCCTATTTAATGTGATCGTAGGCCTCCGATCCGTAGCAGCTCGCCCTCTCTCTCCCTCTCTATCGATCGAGCTAGGTAGGTGATCTTCTCCACCCCTCCTCCTGGTTCCACCCAAAACCGTCTCCCAAAACCCTTGCGATACAATCACGCTTGGAGCTAGTAGTGAAGGCAATGACAGGATTGCGGCGTACCTTCCTTTTCCTTCCGTCAGCTGCTACCCGTAACCATCGAGGATGGTATACCTTGCCTTGCTCTCACAAGCATCAGCTCTCGTGAATTCCGTAATCCATATCCCAATAGGATTTTGATAAATCCTAGAGTTAAGGCAGACAGGAGGAGAAATGGATTTGAGTGCTTGTATGATTTTTTTTAATATTTATTAAAGTTTTAGGTGTTATGTAAATTTCTCAAAATTTTATTTTGAAAATCAGAAATTTTAATTACCCTATATCATAATAAAATCAAACCAAATTGCTATTTTGATTATATTAGTTAAACTTAATTAAGTTCATAATTTTTCTCCTTTTAAGAATATAATAATTATAATTTATTATATATACGTGCATATATTAAAATTTTGTAGGTCGACTAAAATACACCTAATTTAATGTATAAATAAATTGATTAAGCATTTATATTTTACTTTATAAATGGTGTATGATTGCTAATCAAACTGTTAAATTTGTAGGAGCATCGCGTTTGCTGCATCGAGATATATAAGTGTTGCTTATTAGACGATAAACATGCTCTTCCTAATTAGATGCGTCAATCCTTATTATTTATATTAGATTCATAATTATTTCATATGATTGTTAGTCATGTCTTTGTTACTTTAATTATAATTTTACAGTTGTTATAGCCTTCATTTATTCCTCATGATGGAAACACTAATTGTTTTAATTTATTGCTTCAAATTTTCTACATATTTTAGTAAACTTGAAATTATAATGTTTTCTTTATTTGCACTTTAATTACATATGGATTCACGTCATATCACAGACTTGTGTGAAATTGCATATTCCTTACATATTATACCTGTGGCAAATTTGATATGCTTGTGTGTGTGATGACATATATGTCGGTGAAACTCTTTTGGATTTTGGCTAGTCGGGCCGACAGACTCTCAGATGATGACTCTACTGGAAATTGTCGGTTGATATTGACCTTCGTGGTTTCAAGGGGTCTCTTAAAATCGACAATATATATAAATATAAATGAAAATTTAATAGTAGAAAACTTGATTGGAAACGATTGCTTATTTTCTTATGTTATGCATATTTAATGTCTACTATTTTCTTATTGTCCTAAAATTTGATATATGCACATAATAATCTTCTTTATTTGTTGTTCACACTGCATGCCCTTTTTTTCCAAGTCGTTTATGCTTTAATAAATACTATTATTTACTATGTTATTTTGTCAAACTCACTCTTTGATATTTTTGCATATCAGGTTTTATCTATCACCAGTAGAATCGTCTTCAAAAGAACATATTTTTCAGTTTTAGTTTTTAACATCTTTGTATTTTTTTCAGTATTTGTTTAAGCTGTTGTATTTCCCCTTTTGGTTTGAGTAGTAGTTTCTTGTTGTCATTTCAGTTTGGAGTTAGCTAGTTTTTGACTCATTTCAGCTGTATCAATAGACCATTCAATATGAATAAAAATTATATTTCATTTCTTTTTTTAATTTCATGCAAGTCTTTCTTTGAGAAAACAAAATAAGTTCAGTTTCTGCTTTGTTGGGGTATATAGTCTTCCTGACCCAGGGCGTGACAGGTTTGACGGGTTTATATTGATTTCTATTGATTTAAGTGAATTCATGCTGATGTGGTTGAGTCCAAATTGTTAAACTTTCGGGATATTTGGATATATAGGGCCACTTCTTCATTTTGATGTACTCGTGCGATCATAGAGCAGCACTAGTGCATCGGATCTCATCAGAACTACGCACTTAAGTGTGCTTGGGTGAGAATAGTACTAGGATGGGTGATCTTCTGTGAAGTTCTCGTGTTTCACCCCTTCTAACACTGCTATTGCCGGGTCTCAAGTACTGGATACGAAGAGTGGGGGGTTGTGTTAGGTACTCAACAACCAGATTATAATTTATCGAAAAATTTTGACATGAATCATGACATGAAAATGCTAGACTTTCCATATAAATGAAAAAAAATTGTGTTAAGAGCCCCAAAATGATATTTGATAGATAAAATGTAATACAATGCAATTTTTTGTTTTATCACAAAAAATGAGTTTGACTTTTTCAATACAAAGCAATTGTATTATCATTATCTTACAAATATTTTATATTTTTTATTAAGTGGTACACTCTTTTGATTGTTTTTCTTTTACTTTTTGGGCAAATTTAGCAGAGATGCTGACAAAATTTTTTCCTTAAATCTATAGAGGCCAGGCCACGTTAGCTGCCACAAGTGTCGTCTTATTCAAATTTCAAATTAATGTTATAAAAAATTATTTTGAGTTAAAGATCAAACTTCCCAAATATAGCTGAAACATCTTATATCCAATTAAAGCATCTTATATGTAAGTAATTTTTTTTTCTGTTTTTGTCTAAAACATTGTCTTTGTTAATGAACTTTTATTTGGGTGAAGTACTTTATATTTATACAAAAAATCTTACATCGTATAAAATTTAAAAAAATTATACCAATAAAACTAATACATCTTAAAAACTTTTATTTCTAAGTAAAATATGTTAATTTGAATAAAACACCTTATATTGCAATAAAATCTTATATATATTAAAAAAGTGCAAGGGAAATTATCTCAATCTTTTTATAGTTTTAATATTGATTAATAAAAGTTAATGCAGCCTTATTTATATTATGGATAAATTTGGGGGAGGTGGCATTAATTTTTTTGTTTAATTGTAGATAGGTGCTTACCAAAATTGTAAATAAGCTAGTTTTTATGGATTCTTTAAATTGCAGGAATGGACCGTAAATACAAAGATTTTCTTGATCAGTGGGAAACTAATCAAGATGTTAAATGCATTCTGGTAGAAAGCAGCTCACCACGTGCTTTTTCAGCCGGTAATCATTGATAATTTATTTCCACATTCCATTGTTTTGACTATTTTGTTTTCATGTAAAATTTAGAAGCATAGAGTTTAGGAGTAGCAGGAGATGATTTATTTGGTTATTCATAGAATGTGAAGTGTAATACCTATTGAACACAGTTCATTTTATTAAGCATCAACCAGTTTGTTTTCTTGGTAGCTTCAAGTGATTGCTCCAAAATTTGATTAATTTTCAGTTTTGCACTTTATTATATTTTTTTTTCAATGAGACAACAAGAAAAGCTATGTAAATGCAGGTGGTGATGTGAAGCGGATTGTAGTGAAATGCGATGAGTCAGAAATAGTTAAGGTCCAATTTCTGCAAGCTGAATTTAAATAAAAAATTGTCCTATTGCTGCCTTAATTTGGAAAAGAGGAATGCAAATTACCTTTTGTTAATGTAGTCACAAAATTTTGTCATGGCATTTTGCATTTTCACTTACATTTGTGATTTTTTCTTTATGTTAATGGAAATATATTTTACCAAAAACTTCTCTCTCTATGTGGTTTCAATTACATTGTGTTTAATCCCTTGCAGGTTTTCACTGCAGAATATTCATTGATTTGTAAGATTCACGAATATGGAAAGCCATATATTTGCTTGATGGATGGCATGACTATGGGGTTTGGAATTGGCCTCTCGTGTCATGGCCGCTATCAAATTGTTACTGAGGCATGATTCTAGTCATGCTTTCTGCATTTTTTTTAGATGTACATACCTTAGTACATTTGAATTTTAATTTTCTTATGTTTGAATACACACGTTCTCTGATACATATATTTTCAATAGAGGACAGTTTTGGCCATGCCAGAAAATGGAATTGGCTTGTTCCCTGATGTTGGCTTTTCCTACATAGCTGCTAAGAGCCCAGGACGTGGTGCCGTTGGTATGACCTTCAGATACTAAAGATTTCTTTCCTGATTGATATACCTGAAAGTTTACTTTTTTCATATTATGAAGTGCTGATGTGCGCTAGCATCAATCAGACTCGTTATTTCACTGGTGTTTTTGAAAATTGTTCTTTAATTGATATACCTGAAAGTTTACTTTTTTCATACTATGAAGTGCTGATGTGCGCTAGCATCAATCAGAGTCGTTATTTCACTGGTGTTTTTGAAAATTGTTCTT